ACTCCCTTGCCCTCTGTATCTGATCACTGGGATGAGGCTTCAGGAGAAACAACCACACATAAACTTATTGGGGCAGTCACTTTAGAGAGCAAAGAATAACCCTACCATGATGCTGGAAGCTTCAGGGAGCCCCAAGAGGCCTGTGGAAGATCTCATAGTAAACCACCAGTGGCAATGCCTCCGAACTTAAAATCAGTGCGAGAATGTGGGTATTTAGTAAGGAGAGAGAAAGACAGCAATGGGAAGTAAGACAAATTATATAGCACTATGTCTGGGAGCAAAGCATGTGAGAAAACAGTTTGTGAACTAATTGATTGAATATAGTATAATCATGATCTCCAAACAAGACAATCCCCTGTGGTATAAGAAGAAAAGATTAGAACATTTCTTAATAATTAAAATTAAAATTCATCCTTAAGGAAACTTACTTTGTATATTTTTTGAATGTACATACTATATTTAAAAAGTAACACATGTAGATATTTTAAAAACAATAAACACATATTGGGGTGAATGTTCAATTATTTTTTTCAATTTTTTTTAACTGTTGGGAGATTGTGGTCGAAACCTGGACAGCCTTTGTCTAGATAAGCATTCAAGGAAGCCTATGGCTTCATTAAGTCAATTACTTGATACTTTGGTTTATTATTATAGTTATTATTATTTTCACAAAAGCAATATACATTAATTGTGGAAAACTAAGAAATTGCAGAGGAATACAACAGAAAGGAAAAATCACCTATAACTCTATCTTTAAAATATTTTGGTGCCTACCGTCTGCCCCTTATCTAACCACATATATAATATTTTATATGTATATAAATATCTATATAAACATAATTTTTCAAACTGGTATCCTACCATAATGGCTGTTTTATAACTCTTTTTTCCAATTAATAAATTATGAATATGTTATTTTGGAACAGAATTTTAATTGTCTATACACTAGAAATTTGCACATAAATTATGTACTAAAATTTAGCCAATTCTCTATAGTTGAATATTTAGGGTCTTTTAAATTTCTTGCTCTTTAATATCTGAGGATGGGACATGGAGGCCTTCGGATGCCGAGCAGAATGGACTAGATTTTATCCTGTGGACCCCTCATTCTCAAGGAATGGTACTACACCTCTAGGGAATATTTTGGGAATTTGCGCAGGTGGTTTTGGCTTTCACAATGTTTGAGGGTTGCTATTGGTGTTTAGTGGGGGGACCAGAGAAGCTAGCCGCTCCGGAATGTGAAGAGTAGTGCTGAGCAATGAAGAACTGTCTCTCGTCTTACACAACTTTCAAATGTCCTACTGGAAATGCATGAGATGAGAAGCTAATTAGAATTATTCAAGCCCAGAACCTAACTCTGTTTTACATATAAATGCAAAGTATTCTGTGCCCATTTTTAATAAACACTAAGTTTTCTACTATCATGTAAATCAAGGGAAAAATGTTTTCTTCGATGCTTTACCGAGAGTTGTGCACCATTTTTGAAAATTATATCACTAACACCACACCGTTGCTGTCATTTGCATCAGCAACATCACCTACTTATGACAATCTACATCTGTATATGGCTTACATGCACTGTGGTTCTAAGAGTATGTGAGAGAATCTTATCCCTTCCTCATATCTGCTAATACTGTCATGCCCAAGCACTTATGTAATGAAATACATATCTTTATTATAAAGATTATTTCTCCTTCATATTACATGTAAGGCCTCCTATTGCCTTTTACAAAATTATGTGTAAGTAGGTCATATTTTCTATTGGTTTTATTTTAGGAGACTAAAGGGAACATTAACAATATTTATTATAAACAGTGGTCATTGGGTCTATAGGGTTGAAAACTGATACTCTAAAGGATAGGAAGCCATTCAGAGGCTTCCAGCAAGAGAGTGACACAATAAAGCAGAGCTAGAGGTATGAATGTAAAGAGAGTAAAGAAAATAAACAGAAAAAGGAGATGGCAGGAGGTGAAGAGATCAGAAAAGAGGCAAGCAGAATCTGGGTGGGGAACTAATGAAGACCTAGAATACCACAGTGCCTGAAAGAATCAGAAAGAAGAGCATTTTATGGAGGCCATTTCAAAAGAGAAGTCGCTGGAATTCAGTGATTGAGTATAGTGCCACAGAGTGACTGTCACAGTGTTATTAGACTGCAGAGTGACTGTGCTCTCAAATAGTCTCACATGTGCACACATATTTGCAAGCACACACATATGCGTGCACACACTTACACACTCTGAAACTCTAGATTCATTACCAAATAATCCCTCTGTCCTCCTGCTGCCAAAGGGAAAACTTATCACACCACTGATTCTGAAATCTGACAGCTCAAGCTGACACTAGTCTGAACTGGAGGGGCAAAGCCTTATTCAGTTTATTTATTTGTCTGCGATTCTCCATCTAAGATAAACCCCAAAATAAATTTCAAGTGTCCTTTAAGTACACTTCAGGTAATAAATCATATACTTGCATTCTCATACTACAGTAAGCATAAAACCATGTAGATCAACAATAGATATCTGTGCCTCCCTTCCTTGCCAAATTCACGCACACACACCCACACAAAGAGAGAGAATAAAAGGAAACTAAGAATCTGAGAACCCGTGACAATTTGTCAGCAGCATACATGTTTACTAATCAGAAGCAACCGTAACAATTAAAATAGTACGATATTAGTCTGGGCAAGGGAGGCATGGTTCTAAATAGCAGAAAAGCATTTCCAAAATTAAGGGATAGAGATTCATGGATATTAACCACAAGAGAATCAATGCTGGCAAATATTGGGAATAGAAGAAAATGTCTCTATTCATATTTAATTTCCAGTTAACATTAAAAGTGTATTATAGGCTGAATTATGTGATTTTATCTTATATATCCATCCTCGCTTTTGAATTTTCTGAGAATAAATAATGTAAATATTTCTTTAAACAAGAGTGAGTCAAAAATGTTCCCAGACATAATGGGACTACTTAGTTATCCTGATCCGTGTCTGTGCAGCAGTACTGAGTCCGTTTAAAACACAAATATCACCTTCCTCGTTGCTTTCCTTAACAATCGATAAGTGAGAAAAATGGCAACGGTATCTCTCTCAACTCTAAGCAGTTATTCCCCCATTCCACCAAAATATGTCAGTTACATTCCATCAAAGTGGAAAATGTCCCTAGAAACCTCACCATTAAATTCTCACTTTGTCCAGTTCTTGTTTCTTTTTATGGGTTACTTACCATCTGAAATGTATTCTTGAGCACTTTCCTATTTGCATTGACTGACAAAAATGCAAGACAAATCCCAAGACTACGGTAATTGCCTGAAGTGAGCAATGAAGGGCTTGTCTAGGCAAAGGCACAGATAACACCATCCATCTCTCCCCATCTCTGCTGTCTGATTGCAGGTTTGACAAGAGGCAGAATATTTATATATTGGATATGTATTACGTTCCAGTGCAGAAGGCTTAATGAGTCATGAATAAACAGAAAATGACCTGAGGCTAAAAGGAGATGCTGCAGGTGAGGTTATAGGTGGCTATGGCTTAAAGGTGATGGTCTTTTCTCTTCATCCTAATTAGGCACAAATTCCAAGCTCATGGAAGACAAGGACCCCGTGACCTTCCCCTCTGCCTGTTGTTCTCATCTCATCTCCTACCACTGCCCCTTTGCACCCCTGTGATCTTTGAATCACACCCTCTTCTCTTAAGCCTCTGGGTCATCATGCTGTGTGATTCTTCCTGGAATCCGCTTCTTTACAATTGTCCCCTGACTGGCATCTACTTATTGTTAAGACTCAGCTCTAGTGTCACACATTGGGGCAGATATCCTTTCTCTCTGCTGTCACTGCAAACTGGGTTTATATCCAACCAGGCACCTACTAGTTACCTTGTGATTATTTCTTTACTCAGTTGTCTCCACAAATATGAGCTCCTTAAGGATAGGGGCCAAGTCTTTTTGGTGTTTGTATCTCTAGTGCACAGCATGGCGAGCACTCAGTCAATGTTTGTTGCTTGCCTGACTAGGAAGATTTTCCTTTTCTTCTAAAGGGCAAGTAGAAGGGCTATCACTTATAAAAGCCGTTAAAGCTATCATTGATTTCCTCATTGAGGGTAGGGAGGGGTTTGCAAGTCAGAGATTTACTAACATGGGTCACGGAGCTAGCCGTGCTTGGGGAGGGAGATGCAAGGGATGGAGGATACCTGACTTTGATGGTACCAACCCGTTGTAAACTCTCACTCTACATGTCACAGCCACAGAATCCCCAAGGGAACTCCCACTGGCTCACTTGAATATACATTATGTCCACGCAGCAGGGGAGGGGGATCAAGCGGTACTGACTCATAAGACTTCACAGTTCTTGGAAATATGAGTTAGAGGTGGGATTTTAATTGGCAGGGCCATGCAAGGAGAGGTGCAGGTGAAACACAAGAAGTCCCTAGAGCCTGGGGCTTCTCCTCCACCAGCTGTGTGTGAAGACACTTTCAAGCACATTTTGTTTGATGATCAGTTGAAACCCATTGCTGGCATCTCTTTTCTTTTTTATCACATAAGCCCCTTGGATATAAGATGCGGGGCCTTTGTTGGTGGAAAGAACAGAAGGTCTCACACTCACAAAGGCACCCAATTTAGACTTTTTACATTATCTCCAAGTGAGGTGATGCACACAGTCACAGACGTGCACTAGTGGAGTTGAAAGAAGCCGTTTATTACACAACTTTACGCTTGTGTCCCATTACCAGATCCCACTTTCTGAAGTGCACTGTGAATCAGAACTTCCAATAATTCTATAACTATCTTAAAAGCAGCACAATTATTTTGAATTTGTGTGTGAAGTATGCTAATTTGTTAAATGTAAACAACGTTTATCATGTCATCAGTTTTTAATATACTAGGAGCTACATCTCTAGATCTTCAAGAGGTTCTTGCAAGCACAGAATTATTTATAGGATCAATAAACAATGGGCATTGAATCTATTTCATCAAAAGGAAAAGTTCAATTTACTTCTTACTTACCAAATTAAGTTTTGCCCAGAACTCAGGTCCTTCCTCCATCTCTCTGAGGCTCGGTGGAATGTACCAAAAGCAAATATTGGCATATTCAGGCTGAGGATTAAGAAAATTTGAAAGTAGTTTTTAACCTAAGGTTAATCTTAGAATGCAATTAAACTCTTAGCTAGTTTCTTTAAGAGTTATCATGTGTGCATCATGTTGATAACAAATCAGAATCAGACAGAGTAGATATCCATTCTGCCTTACTTCTGATAACAGCCTCTTGGGAAACTTTCTTCTCAGTTGGGTGAACCTAGAGGTGCTCTTCCCTCCAGGTAAGGGATGAGCACAAGATCAGGAATAAACATAGTAAAGTTTGAAGCTGACTCAACCCAGCTCTGAGCATCAGCACCTGATACACATATGCCCAGAGAGGCCCTGGTTCCCTCCTCTTCAACCCTGACCCTTTTAGGTTGTTTCTTACACCACCATATCCTTCCAATAATTCCTTCTCTACTTAAGGTAGCCAAAGTTGGCTTCTATTACCTGCAACACCTGACAAATGCAAAACCCCTGATTTCCTGTGAGCTGATAACATGACCTACTAGGGCTTCACTAACCAGCCCTCTGTGACCTTAGTCAATACTGCTTGGGGAAAAAAAAAAGCATCAATCCTGACTCCTGGCTCTCAAGTATCAGTTCAGTCTCAAGTATTAGAAAATATGCGAATTAGCTAAGGGGCTTGCTCAAAGTGTAGATTCTCAGTCCCTGGGCATCGAATGCCCAGAGTCCATCATAGAAAAGGCTGAAGTATTGGCATTTTAAGAAGCCTCTCGGGTGATTCTGAAGTGAATAGTGCATGGTCTATGTTTGAGAAAGTCTGATCTAAAGTGGCCATAGCCCAGTCCTCTTTCCCAGTAATCTGCTTTTCTATCAGACACGATATGGTTAAATATGGGATAACATTCCAGAACAGGCTTTAGTCTAGCCATTGTCACACAGACAAAATCTCCACCGCACCTTTCATCCTCAGTGGACAAAAACATAAGGCATGCCAAAGGCAATCACAGGACTTGTAGTCAATGACAAGGTGATTGGACACATTATATGGGGGTCTTATATTTATATATTATATATTATTATTATTATATATTATATTATAGTATTATACATATAATATTATATATTCATATGTTTTATATTATATATATTTATTTATATATTTATATCATATACATTTATATCATTTATATTATATTATGTGTATATTGGATACACAGAATTGTATTCAGGAAAGATTATGGGTCATGCCCACCCACTCAGCACCTTCCTCATTTGATTCTTAGCACTGACAGTATTTGAAATGACGCCCATTTTTCCACCACAAACACAGTTTGTAGGTAATAACCAATGTTATAATAGTTCTCAATAACCATCAGTTATGCTCCAGTGTCAGTATAAAGTTTCAAAGTATTTCAGAAAGAGGAAATAGCTATCATTTCATACCTTAAAGTCAAGACTGGTACTATATAGAGTTCTGATTTTAGTGGATTTTAAATCACAAGGGAATGCCCAGAAACATTCTCAGCTCAACAAGATAAGTTCTTGATCTGATCATCCTTTTACCTTTGAAATTTTTAACATGCTTATTGGACTTGACCAAAAAAAAAAGAGCTACAAATCTTCAAAATATAGAGTAATTCAAAATGGAGTACTATGTAATTCAACCCAATTTCCACAAACATTAATCATGAGACTACAATAGTCTTTACAAATTTACACAATTTATATTTGGATTTCTGATTTATAATTGATTTGGTTTCTCTAAGGTAGAATGTACTAGCTTTCAAGATTTTTGATCATTTAATGTGAATAAATCTTTTCAAATACAGTAACTACAGTTGATTAGAAAGTAATAGAAAATACAGTTATTATCTGTCACTACATTCTAGGAATTCGTGTCTTTATATCAACAAAGATTTTTTTTCCAGATGCCATTTATGTCAGTTATGAATTTATTGCCTCTCAGCTCCACATCCACCCTTTTCTTGTGTCCTGTAATAAGGGAGGTAGACTATAAATATTTCTCCTTGCCGTCTGGTCCAATCTGAGAATTTATCAGCAGAGGGTGCTGGAGGGACACTGAGAAGGAAGAGCTATCTCTTCTTGGTTCCAACGTGCTCACCTCATGGGTCTCCTGCAAGTATGTGTGGTTCATTTCAGCAGCCTTGGTGACCAGCAGTAAGTGGCCCTCCAACAGCTTTCCTAGCACCACCCCCTCTGGTGGCTTCACAGCCGACTGGCAGCAGGGGGCTCCCATAAAAGGCTTTTCCTGGCACATTCTCCTCTGGTGGTTTCATAAGGGAGTGTTACCACTGCGGCACATGGCCTTGGATGGCTTCTCTGACAGCCCTGTGGGTAGCTAGAGTGAGTTCCAAGGTATGGCACTGCCCTGAAAATGGCTTCCTCCAGCACTCCAGAAGGTGGATTTCTAGAGAATCCCACCAGAGTGACACCTCATGAACTTCTCTGCCGTCCAGTGCGCCACACTGTGCTCTCTCCAACCAAGTCTTGATCTCAGCCTGGGAGTGGGTGGCTTCTTGCTTGGATGCTCTTTCTTAGTTCTAGGAGTAGTGGCTGTTCTATCTGCTATTCCTGTATTTTTTAGAGTTCTCTTTCTCTCCAAGAGGCTATCCCTCTGACTCCAATCCCCTGTTAATTCTTCTTTTTTTTTTTTTAAATATGGAATGCTTCACAAATTTGCGTGTCATCCTTGCACAGGGGCCATCCTAATCTCTACAAGGTTCCAATTTTAGTATATGTGCTGCCAAAGCAAGCACAATAATTCCTTATATTGTACTTTCCCACTTCAAATTACTGTGCAGTTTTGTCTTCTTATTGGACACTCACTAATACATCATTAAATTAGTTATTCTTTTTCATTTACATGGCAACATTATGAATCATTTTGCAATAGTTTTTATCTGCTACCAGATGTGCTCTAGATTTTATGTTAGGACCTAGATCCTTTGAATCACCTTTTAAAATTGCTTCCTTTAGTCAGTTTCTGTTTAGATATTTTAGAAGTGACATATCTGTGATTCCTTTTGCCCCAACAGTCTCCTTTAGAGTGGTGTGACTTTAGTGCTATGACATCTGAAAACTGTGAAGCCCTTTTGACACCTCATTTCATTGGAAGAAATTTGATGCCCCATTTGGTGAAATACCTTTACTGTAGTCATTTCCAAAATTATTAGGAGTTGGAAAAAACATCCTTTTGAATGTTCACAAGGAAAGTATTTAAGTTTTTCTGTTTCTTTGCCTCCGTAGCGTGTATTTTATATAGTGACTTTCTTCAAGAGGCTTCACAACAGTAATGAGTATTTTCAGAGTGGAATCATTCACATGCCACTTAAATCCCTACATATATGAAAGCCTGCCTCTTGGGTGTCTTAGGAACACATTTAGTCTATGCTCTCTAACACCATAAAATTGAGAAGATGTAAAAAGGAATCCAGGGGCCAGCCCCATGGCAAAGCATTTAAGTTCACGTGTCCCACTTCTACAGCCCAGGGTTTCCCGGTTCAGATCCTAGGCGCGGACCTATTCACCGTTCATCAAGCCATGCTGAGGTGGCGTCCTATATAGAGGAACTAGAAGGACCTACGACTAGGATATGCAAGTATATACTGGGGCTTGAGAGAGAAAAAAGAAAAAAAAAAAGAAGAAGATTGGCAACAGATGTTAGCTCAGGATCAATCTTCCTCAATAAAAAAAGGAATCCAAGTATCTAGACCAGAAAGATGATAGTGAAGGGCACAAGAAACCTGTAGCAGTAAAAGCATTGTCATAATCTTTACAAATTCATGGAGAAGTAGAGAAGTGTCAGTAAAGAAAAGATGGATGCATTCTTTCCTGATTTTCAAAGAGAAAAAAATAGATATATTCCAAGAAATAAAGCAGGTGATTGGATGTCAACTCTAGCAAGGATTATTGAGGAAACAATAGGAGACCCCTTGGGGAAAAATGTCAGTCACCAACATGTAGCTCGCATTCTCTAACACTGAGTCAAGTCAGAAGAAATTCATCTCCTTTGCTTACAATGTCATTAGATCACAATAATAGTAATAAAAAACAAAGATAGCACTATGTATGCATTTGAATAAGTATAGATGTAGAATCTAGCACATAGATTGAAACAATCAATCACGCAAATATAGAATGGAGAGGGGGGCATGGTGGATATTAATTGACTTCAATCTTATAAATTTTAAATATTTGACTAAACTGCTGAAAAAATTTTCAAAGGCAGCACTGAGTGGCACAGAAAGAATGGATTTTGGAGTCCCATGGACATGGTTTGAATCTCAAGGTCACCAGGTCTTCGCCTGAGCAAGTGTCAAACTCTCTGAGCTTCAGCTCCCTAATCTATAAAATGGAGATCACATTGTCTGCCCCACAGAGTTGGTATGATGAGTAAAGAGATTATTTCCACTATTTACTACCATTTCTGGCATACAACAAGCACTCTATTAGTGTACTAACTATTATTTAGGATTATATTGGCAGAAAAAGGTGTCCTTCTCAAGCGGATGAATAGCCCCTTAAAATCTGTACTAGGAGAGACACACATTATGTTAATATCTGTGAACCATATTTGAAGAGGAACATTAAAAATTTATAGCATGTCCAAAGAAGGGCAACTGAAATGTTCAATTTAATAAGCAGAAATTTTCTATGTTCTAGATATTGGAAGAGGCATTGGGATGAGAAAAATGACCTACACTATATGCTTATCTCTAGGAACTCAGAGCCTAGTAATAAGACGTAGATACAGGCAATTAAACTGAAATGGAATGAGCATTACAAAAGAAGAAATTTCTCATAATCCAAGAAACATTCCTGGCAAAAGGAATAGGGCACACATAGAAGCCAGTGTATTCAGGGGCATGGCAAGTACTTGGAATGAATAGAGGATAAGGTGTACTGAAGAGAGGTTAAGCCGGAAATAGAGATGGGAGTCATTTCATGGAGGGCTTCCTCATCTGCCATGCTTAGGAATTTGGGCTTGATCTTGGAGGCAATGTGGAGTCATTAGAGTATTTCAATCTAGGCAATGGATTTCATTTTAAAAGTCCACAGTGGGGCTGCAGCGTGGAGATGGGCTAGAGGAATCTAAGACTAGAAGTAGAAGATGAGTTAGGAGACAGTGCCAACCTGATGAGTGATGAGGGCCCAAACTAAGGCAGAGGCTTCAGGAGTGGAAAAGAGTAAGCACCCAAGATATATTTATGGGAAGGGGAAGAGAGATATGAAGACAACATCAAAGATTTTTGTTTGGATGGATCACAGTTCTAAGGACCAAAAGAAGAATATAGAATTTTGGTAAAGAAAATGGTTACACCTCAGCTTTAGAAATGTTGAATTTGAGGTGCCTGTGGGCTCTAATTGAAAATTCCACAACATACCTATATATGAAGGGCTAAAGTTTAGGTGACAAGTCAAGGATGGAGACATTATTGAGGCTATTGACAACAAAGCTCTAGATATGGATAAAACATTTCAGGGAAAGCATGTAGACACAATGAAGGGCCAAAGACAAAAGAGTGAAGAAGAACATTTAACGGGGTACTCAGGTGAAGAGACCTTCACATAGAGACTGAGAAGAAAATGCCATGTGAAAAGGATAAAACTGGGAGAGAATTCAAAGAAACCAAGAAAGGAGAGAATTTCAAGAGGGATGGAGTGGATAATGGTGTAAAATGCTGCAGAAGTCTAATAAGACGAAGACTAAATAATGTACACTGGATTTAGCAATTAGAAGGTTGTTGTGATCTACTAAAACTCTATAAAAAGATAATTATAAATTGGATTGTGCTTGATACATATTAATAGTAGGATTCAATAAGTATTTGAATATGAATAATTAGAGCTCCCTGGAAGAGAAATGAACTGTGAATTCTCTGACAGAGGAAGTGTTCAGGCAGAGGTTGACCTCCTGTTACAGGTACTGTTAAGAGAGGTTTCCTGCATTGAGCAGGCAGTTGACTAGATGTCCTTGAAGATCCTTTATAACTCAGAAAGCCTATGAAACCTAAATAACTTTTCCTAATGTAGAACTCAGCAAGAGAAAAACAAAAGTTGAATAATTTTGATTCTCCCAAGAGATCAAAATAAAATATGTGAACGATAGTATAAGAATGAATATACCTCGAGGAAAACATCTATTAGATCTTAGATCCAACACAGAAAAATAGAGATGAATTTCAGGGGCCTATGAATAATGCAGAATTCATTTGAAATGATAACTTTCAACCATCTTCAAGAAGATATGCATTATTTTTGCTCTTTTTAGGAAAAGATATTCAAGCACTGGATACTCTGTTTTGTTGTGTTCATTTACTGTTTTCATTGTTCCACTTAACACTCTCACAGCTATCTGCTAAAAGGGGGAAAAAATATATATATATATATAATGATAGACTTTGATTTTTCCTAAACTGAAAGACTTGCAGTTTCACAGACCTGGGTTCCAATCCAATCTTTGTATCTCTTAAGTATGCATTAAGGTTATATTTAGTCGATCCAAAGAAAGTATTTGTCAACAAAAAGAGGCTAATCAACTCGACACTTATATATGAAATTCAAGGTCTAAATTTACTTTATTTCTCCAAACAGAATACAGAGAAAAGAAGCAAATGCAGATCACATACAAAAATCCTTATAAGTAGGAATTCTAGAGTACCATTGAGGAAGCCACCTTCACTGCTTCGGGCCATCTGGCTCCCATAGATAGAATATGCAGGGCAGAAGGCTGCCTAATAATTAAAACCCACTTTAACTTTCATTACAAGGATATGAATGTTTGCAATTCCCTAGTGATGATGACAAGAGGTTCCTCCCTCAGTTTTTAAGCTTTTAGGAACAATATATAAATAACTTTTTAAATCAGTTCATGTTTTTTCTCATCACTTTTTCTCTCATCTCTATCAAAAGATTGTGCAGTTCTGGGTGTGTAGCACTTTCCATAAGCACCATAGCTCCCATAGCCAGAGAAATAAAAAAGGCAATTCAAATTTGAGAAAATAAAGCAGTAATTCAACCTCAAGAAAATAAAAAAGATGATTCAAACTCAAACTCAATCCAATCATAGAGCTGTTGTTTCACCCCTACATGCTCAGATATGCCTCTCTAGAAAATACAGACATTTTCTTATATAGTCATAATGCCATTATCATGCCTAACAAGATTACCGATAGTTCCTGCCAGTTCATATTAGAAATTCCCTTACTGTTTTAAAATTTACTTTTTAAAATTGGCTTGTTCAAACTAAGATTCCAACAGGTCCATGTGTTGCATTTGGTTGTTATGCCTCTTAGGTCTCTTGGAACCCTAAAGTGATCATCACTACTCTCTCCTTTATTTTTTTTCATGCCACTGACCTGTTGAAGAAACTAGGTCAGCTGTCCCGTAGAATGTTCCACATTCTAAATTTGTCTTCACGCTTCATTGTAGTGTTACCAGAAAGTCATTTAAATATGGTTTCTTCTGCTATCTTTGCAAGTTCCTTTATATCCCTAGTTTTCAGGAACTTTGGATTCTCAGAACCTTCGAATCTGATGCCTCCTTTGTAGATAGAGGTGGAAGCCATGGTCAGGATTCTCTGAAGCAGTGTTTCCCAAAGTTGTCTGGGGACCATCAACATATCGCACCTGAACTACGGCGACAGTCTCCCAGTTTGTCTCCTTTATTCTTTTCTTGTCCTCCTTTTACCACCACCTCCCATTCCTCTCTTCTTTTGCCATCCCGCATGGTCTTTTAAAATGGACGTCAGACTCCTCTCTGCTTAAAACTTCTCCAATGATTACACTTGGAGTAAAAGCCAAAGGTCTTACCATGACCCACATGACTCCACCTGATCTGGTCTCTGCTGGCCTCTCCAACGCGATCACCTTACGCCCTGCCCCCTGCTTAATACACCGTTTTTTGGCTCCTCAAACACGTAGAACTCTTCTCAGCATTAAGCCTTGGCACTTATTTATTGATTCTACCTAGAGGGTCTTTCCCTCAAACATCTGCACGGCATGCTGTCTACCATCATTCAGGTCTCAGCTAAAGATAATCTCAGAGGGCCCTACCCAGGCTACTCAGACCAAACAAGCCAACCCCCACCCACACCCCCGTTTCAGCATTTCACTCGATTTATTTCCACTCTAATACTTACCACATCTGTAACTGTCTAATGATTTATTTGTATACTAGATTATCTCTCATGAATCTGTTTTATTGTTTTCATAAGAATTCTCACTACCTGATGTTTCCTATGTATTAATTTGTTTGTTTATTGCCTGTAACTTTCCAATTGAATGTAAGCACCAGAGAGCAGGGAACTTCCCTGTCTTGTATTTCCAAGTGCCTAGAACTGTACCTGGTACATAGCAATTACTCAATAAATCTTGCTGAATAAATGAATAGCAAAAAATAGCCAGATTGCTCATATACAGGCTAGGTTCCTAGGTTGCAATCTCTAGATAATTTTTACATTAGGTTAAAAACTGCTACAAAGTATATGCTATAGGAAGATCTAAGACAATCTCACACTTTATATTTCTTAAAAATTGGAATTAAATAATATTCTTCATATTTTCTAACCATATATTTTAGGAAGAAAAACAGTATTCTCTATCTTTTTAGCCACCTTATTTCTTATATATACCAAATATCCAACAACAAAATGGCTTATTTTCCCATTGCTCCAAAGCTAATATGCTCTCATTGTTTTATAAAAAGAGAAAACTGGATGCATTATTGTACATTCACTTAATTGATTTTTCACATGCAGGCACCACTATAGCACAGTTGACTATTTGCAGTACAATCATTATGCAATTTACATATCAAGATAGAGGTCATAATTTATTCAGCATTATCCTTGGTAATTATTATTGAGCACTTTAATTTTCAATACTTAAAGGCAAGTGTGTTCTCTGAATCCAACAAATGAAAAATACTCACTAATAGAGTAAATTAACATAATGGACTCTATGAATTAAGCTAATGACTTGTTTCTAAGTCTGCAACACAAAAACCAATGAAATAGATTAGAAAATTACCACCCTCATCACTGTTGACTGACAAAATCACAAGCTCAATTTCGTAATCACTTACTTCCAACAGTAACTTGAATCCTTCTCTTTTCTTGATTTCTTCTACTAGGTACCTAAAAATGAAAGCCACAAACATATTTATAATCTGCAATCTAAAAATTCCATCAACATGACTGACATATGACGAAACTGCTACTTCAGATGCAGAGACAAGGCTTAGAAATAAGAGGCTTAGAAATAAGTAAGGGTACAGGTTTAGGTATAAGTATGGATTTAGACAAATACTCCTGAACCTACTGCAATCCCCTGGCGCCCGAGTAAAAAAATACATCTTTTTGATCAGATGATGTCTATCTTACATGTTAGCATCAGACTTGAACCTCAGTGTGAAAAGCCACATAATGTAGATTGGATATACATCTCTGACCATGTGGGTTTCACATTGGTATTCTAGATGGGGCTTTAGTGCTGCTTGTAAATTCATTTAAGATCAAGGAAGCTCAACATCATCTTTTCCAAGGCCAGGACAGAGGGAAAGAGGACTGATTATTGGTATCAGGTTAAAAGTAAGTGGGCTGTAGCCACTGATAGAATATCTATGAAGTCATCTTGAATGTCAGGGAAAAGAGAACTATCACACTTTGAGCAAGGGGCACAGATACAGGAGATATGAAATATGATTGAGAAAATACTAAAATGATGTTGAGAATGTAGAGCAAATTAACACTGACACCTCTCCTCTGGGCTTGGCATTTGTATAAACAGAGACGCCTTCTGAAATGGTTGGCCTTGAAAACTAGTAATTTGGTTATGGGCCTTGAAAGGTTCATGACACTTGACCTAGTATTTCAAATTTGGAGGTCAAATGTAAGGAAATGATCAGAGGCACTGACAAAAATGTACTTGCCAGGGTATTTATTGTGATTTTATATGTAATAGCACAAAAAAGAAGGAAAGAAACATCGCACCCAGCGATGAGGACTGGCTTTGAAAATTATGGTCCAGTCATATGGAATTATGGTACCACCATATAGAATATGATCATTTCACTAAATTACATATATTCAATTAATATTTAAGGGCAACAAAAAATTTCTCCCTTTGGGCCTCGATTCCCTTACCTGTAAAACTGGAATGCAGAATCTACTTTTCCAATCTCAAAAGGTTGTTGTAAAAAAATTAAATAAAATCCTACACACACAAAAAATTGTAAAGTATAGAAACTGTGGAAATGGGGGTTATTACCATTATGTCATTTCCTAAAGGCCATTCTAGAATGTGGACATGGAATATACCAGTTTACAAGACTCAATTCTTTTTTCTCAAACTTATTTATATAGCTTTTCACATAAGGTTAAATATTGGTGTTATCTATAGATTACATCATCTTTGAATTATACAAAATCTTATAAAATTCTATCAGTACTAACTAGATAACATAGATCCTCTATTTTGAGCAATAATGTTGTGACCAGACACACACATATACACACACACAGAGACTCATAAAGTATTTGATGTTTTACATACTCCTTTCCCTGGATATTTTTTCAGATGTTATATAGCTGTAAAGTTTTTGAACCTTTAACACACTGCCTAATTTTTGGAAAAAGCAATTACAATGGTTAATAAATATCAGAAAATATGCTCGAGATCACTGGTAATCAAAAAAGTGCAAATTAAAACAATACTCAGCCATGTTGCCCACTTGGTACTAGAAGCAAATTTCAAAGAGAAACAACACCTAGTGCTAGTGAGAATGTGATAGAAAGCTGCTACAAACCTTTTAAAATTAATAATACTCATATCTTCCGATCCAGTAAACCACATTTGAGATGCTGGTCTACCAGGAAAAAATCATCAGAATAACTAGAAACAAGATTAATATCCAGAAACTGGCAAATGGTAAAATAAAATGTATTATAGCAACACAACGTAATATGATGCAGCTATTAAAAAGAATAAATTATATCTACTTCGATTAAACTACAGGGATGCTCATGATGTATTAGTAAGAGATAAAAGCAAGATACTGAGAAATGTGTATAATATGATTCCATTTTTTAAGAAATTGTAAAAAAGAAAGCAAAAGGAATCCCTACCCACAATCATATATGATCACAAAGTAAGGTATGGAAGAATACCTAATAAATTGTTAATGTTTACCTGAGGAAGGGAAAACAGATGCAATGGGGGAGGTTGAGATTATTAACTCTTTTTTTGTATCTCTTTGCAAAGTTTCATAGGTGTGGTTACTTTTGTAATTTTTGAAAGGAACTTAACAAAAAAAAAAAGTAAAGCACAGACAAAATAGATACATACAATCTCTACCTGTACAAGGAAAGCTCTGTGAACCATACCTTTCCTCACTTTCTCAGGCACAAACGCATAGGCAATTTGTTAACTCTAATATTGACGCCATGATTTCATCCCGAGGAGGCCTATGCTCATCCTGGATACCCTGAGGCTATGGAAAAGCTTTGCATCTGCAGAAATCCTGGGAATGACTCTAGAATATTCTAGTTGTGCAGCTAATCAACTTTGTGACTCTAGGCAAATTCCTTAGCTTCCCTTAGCCTGCCTCAGTTTCTTCACGCATGAAATAGAGATGTGGAACTAGATTGGTAAAATCCTTCCCTAACAGATTATGACTGCATGAAATTTAGACACTGCCCTATGGTCTCAATTTAAAATATTTCTGTCAAACTGGACAAAGTTGCTCCGGGGAGACAGTCATCCTAAAACAGAGCTGAATCATTTCAGTTCAAACTCTGCTTTTTGCTAACCATGTGGACCTGGGCTTTGTGTCAGGGCCAATGTCCTCACTGCAGTCACTCTCAGAGCCCAACAAGCCCAGCATAACACTCCAACTGAGTTGAGGGTAGAGGTGATTTGGGTGAAGAATTGCTATTACAACAGTAATAAAAGGCTCACACCACAGTTCCCAAACTGTGCTCCATGATATACCATGTTACTAGATTTCCCACATAACAGGGTTCCATGTCAAACAAATTTGAGCAATGCTCAGGATGTCAATTAGATTTTTTTTTGTCTACAATTAGAAGTATTCGTGGCTTAATTCATAAGGACATTTACTGAACTGATTGGATGGTTCAATAATATAATCAGGAACCAGGCATCTTCTATTATTTCAGCCTGCCATGCTCAGAGTGTTAGAGAATTCTCTCATGTTCACAAGATGGCTGCCACAGCTTCGTACATCACATCGTTTACAACAATGTCCAATGGAGAAAGAGAAGGGTCTGGAGCAAAAGCATTTTCTCTTCATTTCTCTCTACTAAGGTAGGAATGTTTTTCCCAGAAGCTTCCACAGAATTCTTCCTGTATCTTATTGACTGAAATGGAGTCATATATCCACCCCTAAACTAATTGTTGGCAAAGAGGATTGCTTAGACCAATGTTCCCAGTGGAATATTGCTACCTAAACAAAATCAAGGTTCTGTTGGCAAGGAAAAAGGGAGAACGGTTGTGAGGTGAACTATCAACTGTGTTTGCATACAGGTTAAAGCCAAATTTAAAATGTTTCTATATTACAGGCCTTCTCAGAGCCTTTACTATGCCAATGAACACTCTGAATCTCCAAGAAAGGAATAATATAGCAGTTAGCATTTCCCAAACATGTTTGACCACAGAAACATTTTTTAGAAGACCATCTATTAAGATCTTCTAGAAGTCTATTATCCCACAGAGCAAAGTTTCAAAAACGCTAGTTCAGAAGTGCCTCTTCTGTAGGATACTCTACCCTCTTCTTAAGTAAATACTTAAATGAAATGAGTTTTTGTGAAAGAATCCAAGTAAGGTTTGAGTCACATAGGGTTGATTTATTCCTCACAACTTTTCTTTTCAAAATATTGAAAAAGCCTAAAGTTAAAATACACTTAAAAAAAACTATTCTTATCTGATGCAAGTCAGAAAAAAGAAGTACATTGGGTTTTTGGACATAATGCAGGAACCATAAACCACTTCTACCAAAAGCTATCCAGGTAAATAGGTTCAAAAAGCAACAAGAGTTTCATAAAACTCATCACTATCCTTCCCACTAAGCTTAGCAAAAAGAGAGAAGAGAAAGAAAAAAATACACATTAGAAAGAGTTTTCACCAATCCTACTAGGTAAAAAACTCATTATATTAAGATTCTGGCTTGATTTTGAAGCATACATTAATGATAATCTTGCTCTAAAACACTTCGCCTTTCTTTGCTTACAAGCATGCCTCCAAATTAGAGAGCCTTGGTCTCCAAACTGTTATATGAGTTCATTTAGTATTTTTGCATTTCACGGGTCCTTGGGCAGGACATTCTTTCCTTTTTGGAAATAGTCTTTCCAGTCCCTTTCTCAATTCACCACCCACTTAGAGTCTCCCTGGAACACTCTTGACCAAAGTTCTCTCCCAGTCTCATCTCTTCATTTGAAATTGCTTCTGATGCACGGAGCCTCCCAGAACTCGTGAGAGTGTTTTCCATCTGCTTTCTGTATGCTCTGCATATAATAGAACATATTGGATGGCTTGTGTGATTCATCCCAGACATCTACATGCTAGATTCTACTGCAACTGTGATTTTTCAAAAAATTACCAATATAAAGGAAAAATGAAAACGTTGGCTCTTCCATAGTCTTCTAGACTCTCTCCCTCTCGTCACCTAGAGAAATATACCAGCACGAAAGTGTCATTGTGTAACTGCTCACCTTTTCCATACTGATAACAATAAATCCCTCAGTATTCATGCAAGTTGGTGAAATGAATTCCATCTGAGAGATTATAGAGATTGTGCGTCAGAGGAATAGATAAATGACACACTGGAGACCTAACAAAGTAGCAGAATGAGAGTTCCTGAGCTGTTTGTTGTTGTTGAAAAGACTTATGCACATGACTCTTCTACACTCGCTTTAAAAATTGTCCGTTAGTGAATATCCATTTAACCTGAGTGCCATAACAAAGGTGTAGAAGGTCCCCTCAGCAACAGGTAGCCTTGCTATTGGTATGGTAAAACGTTTTTGTTTTTCTTAGGCAGATATCACCTTCCTTGTGCTAGAGGTGGTGGTTTTAAACCTCAGCCCTCTGAGTTTCAGTTATGCTTAACAATCATATGTTGCCTTAGGTTCCCAATGTCCCAATTGGTTTTTAAATAACTGAAAGAAAAAGCAAGTTTTTAGTCATTAATATTTCTTGAGAGAAATGTTCTCTCATCAATTGAAATGACAAGGGTCAAGTGGAAATTAGGAAAAGCCTTAGAGGTCTTCTAGGCACTAAATTTTTCCTTCTTGCTGGATTTCTGACAACTTCTCAAACAGGAGTCACTGTGCTCTTTAAAATGTCTGCTGTTGCTTTCCCAGGGGAAGAGAGAGCAAGCTATGCGATCAGGGTGATGGCAATCCATTGGTCCATCAAAATCTGGTCCTTAATATCTTAAAGTCAGTGTACAAATTTCAAAACTAAGTTCCATTTAGATTCAGGAACATGGAAACATTGTTTCCATGGAATCAGTGCAATTTTTACTGCCACATGTCAGGGGAAAAGACTTGCACAGCCTTTCCAGTATATAAGAGACCTCCCCTAGGGCCTAGGGAAATGGATATCTCAGCTACATCAGGCTGCTGATGATAGATATACACCCCAAATAGTAACACACTCATCAGTGCAGCTTTACTTTGCTAGAGTTGTTATCCACTGAAGGAAATTATAGTACTTGGAAACAAAACAATGTTACTCTGACTTAGACATTATGCCAGGGAGGGCCTTCTGACCGTGGATGAGAATCATTTTTATTAAATGCAAGAGGCCTCGGGTCTGTAGGCTTATGAGAAATGGTATTTTAACTCTAACCAGTCATAGTTTGAACTAATTATGCCAACTCACATAAACAATGGTGTTCTAAAAGCTAGTTTGTACTGGCTAGTGAAAGCCAATTGTTAAATATTCAGGAATTTTGCAAACCATAACTGTTGGTAGGTTGCAGTTTTCCATGGTGAAAATATTTACACCATGGAAATTGGCAAACATTACACATTGGGGCTTTTTTTTTTTTTGCCTCCTGAGAGCCAGTTTACCACTATACCACCACACATAGACTCTGACAAACAGAATAGACCTCAGAATAGAGAAAATGTTCCTTCTTTCCTAAATGGCAGAACCACAAACCAAATCAACCAATTTGAAAAGAAAGAAAATCATGAAAAGAAAGCCCTTACGTTGCTAACTATAATATACTTCTTTTTTTTCTTTCTTTTTTTTTCTGGGAAAGATTTGCCCTCAGCTACCATCTGTTGCCAATCTTCCCCTTTTTTTTCTTTTCCCTCCACAAAGCCCCAGTACATAGTTGTATATTCTAGCTGTCAGTCCTTCTAGTTCTTCTGTGTGAGCTGCCACCACAGCATGGCTACTGACAGATGAGTGGTGTGGTTCCGTGCCCAGGAATCAAATCCAGGTTGCCAAAGCAGAGAGAGCTGAATTTTAACCAGTAGGCCACCAGGGCTGGCTCTGTAATATAATTCTTAATCCTAGAGAAACTTTCTCCAAGTTTATAATTTCACAGTCATTCCAAGCAACATGACTAAAAGGACTCTGCCTTGGCACCTGGCTTTGCGAGTGTGAGAATAGGACAACTTTTGCTCCCCCACCCCGCCCAGGAATAGAGCGTTGAACATCAAGAATGTGGAAAGTTAAGAAAACTATTAGGACTAACAGCATGAAAGAGGAGGGATTATTTTTCAAATATTTAAATATAGATCACGGAGTCTGCAGTGATGCTCACTGAAATGTTAATTCAACAACTTGACAAACATTTACAAACAATAAGGTTGCTGAATTGAATTGAAATGTTAACATTTACCCTCCTGTGATATTTCTCTGCAAAAATTAGAAACTATCCTTAGACTATAAATTAAATTCCACACTGAGAGGAATGTTAACTTTATAACAAATATGATCATCAAATATTTATATCTAGTTTGGTTCAAGACACCTGTTATTGAATTACTTAGCAGCTTAGACAAAATAATGCAGAGATTCTACTACACGTAAATGAAAATACAAAACAGGGAACAGAACTTTCTGAACTTTTGTTTTAATTTAATGGGCAACTACAAATATTTATGGTAGACAGTTTCATTTCTTCACCACTGGGTAGTTATCTCTCTACTTCTGATGGAGGCACTCTAACCCTAATTAAGGCACACTCCTCACCTAGTTTCAGTATATATTCCATAGAAGGAATTGACAGTCTTCCCATTGCCAAAGGAGAGCATATGAGTCAACATGACCAATGAGAGCATCACATTTCCCCAGCAACAGTGACTGATTTAGAGATGGATATTTGCCTCACTCAGAAATAATTAAAACTTTCCTTGGGATTGTTGAGAGAGGAGCATTCTCTCCTTTTGACCTTGAATTTGAACCGGGGAGGATATAGATCCGACACTCCTGGCAGCTACCTTCCTACATTGGAATAAACCCAGCATGAAGGAGAGCAGACCTGATAGATGGAGAGAGATTTAGGCCTGGTGATATTGTTTAAGCCCCTAGAACAAGCCATTCCAGAAGCCATCACTACACTATCTTATAAGCAACACATAGTAATAAATTACCCTTCTTTGTTGATAATATCTGGAGTTAGAGTTTCTGTTGCTTACCACCAAAAGAGTCCTAACTGATACAGTATTCACAGATTTTTCAAATTACTTCTTAAACCATAATCACAAGAATTGCTGACTTCTAACAGTCTTCTGAAAGTGCCAAAGCCATCTCTTTACCTGTCCTTATACTCAAGCCCTTTGCTATGTAACTTTGTGTTATTCCTGCAAAAAGGCACAGTGTACTTCCTGCCTCTTGACCTTGAGTTTGGCCATGTGATTTGCTTTGGCCACTGGAATGCTAGTAGATACAATGCAATCAAGAGTTTAAAGTGGGCTTTCATAGTTGGGCTTGCCTTCTTGGACTTTTCTCATCGACAATACAAGAACATGCCCTGGCTGGCCAGCTGGACCAAGGAAGATGCAAGACGTGTGGGGAGTAGACCCAGCCCCTTCCCTCACCCTCACAGCAACCATAGTATGAGATAAAGCCACTCCAGCCAACTTGCAGACAGACTTCTTAGAATAAATAATTGTCGTTTTAAGATATTGGGTTTTCAGACAGTCTACAGTGATGCTCAGAGCATTACTGTTGCAGAGTGTTGCACACAGCACCCATATCACTCCTGGTATAGAAAGAGGAAATTGTTTTAAATCTCTAATGAGATACTTCAGGTTTTTGCAAGTGAAATGTGACCAGGGAGTAAAGAAAGACAGATTATCCAAATCAGAGATCACAACTCTGATGCCTTTAGCGGCCAAGTAGTTAAGAAAATAATAACTAAAGCTCATATAGCACGTAGTATATACCAGGCACTGTTCTGAGTGTCTTACAAATATCAATTCATTTAATCCTCATAACAATTATTTGAGTTAGATGCTGTTGTTATCTCCATTTTACTGGGATGAAATTGAGATACAGAAAGATTAAGAAACTTGCCCAAGTCACATCTTGTAAACGGTAGAGCTAAGTTTTGAGTTCCAGTTGTCAGCACCTCTCTGCTATAGTAAAATAGGCCAGATAAGAAACAGGAGGAAGTGGAGGGGACTGTGGTTCTCCAGAGTCAGGCACCATCATTTTCAGAGGCTTGTCACCATGTGGGATTGAGAGCATTCTGATCTTTTGAAAGAAGCCAAAAATCTAGATTTTTGACAAATCTCCCTATTTTTAAACATTTAAAATGTTTAAATGTTTGTTATTTTTAACACCATGAAGGTTAATCCTATGCAGATCAGACCCAACAAATCACATTTAAGACTAAATTTGGCCGCAGCCTGCCTATTTGTACCCACTGACCCAAGAGCAGAGTCCTGTTCAGGTGGCAAATGTGCAGCACCCGTGTCTCAGGAGCTTTTCCAATGTCTCTGAAAGTGGTTTCAAAGCTTTGTCTCCAATGTTACAACAAGGCAAGCAACCGCGGTGCTTCCACATTATCTTTACCTTTTCACGCCTTTACACCAGCCCCACATTCTCACAGACCTGCTTTCCAGGTCCTTCAAGTCCCCATCATCTCTCCCACATCCAGAGATTTGGGCCTGGTGCTCCCTTGGCCTGGATCATTCTTCTCCCCTTTCTTCATTGGGTCTTAGTTGAATGTCACTTCCTCCAGGAAGCCTCTGCCCATGCCCCTCAAGAACATACTAGGGAACCCTCCTGAGTGCTCTCAAGTACCATATATCTCCCCTTACCAAAAATACATTCACCTGTATTTTATCTGCTTTGTCACCTGAATGTAACTCTCACTAGGCTAGGATCCTAGAGGGCAGAGGGTAGGACTGCTTTGTTCACAATTCCTAACACATAGTAGGCACAGAAAAAATGGTTGTTCGATGAAAGAAGGAATGCACCAAAGAAAGAACAGAGCTTGCAAATGTTACTTTCATTGAGTCTTTCTATTACAGACATCCATGGACACAACACACACAGACACACACACAGACACACACACAGACACACACACACACACACAGAGGCAAGCACCTCGATAAAGCCAGAGCACGATTAACTCTTTCTTCAAGGCCTGATGTGCCCAAGGCCTTCCATGTCATCCAGAACTTGAATGCATCTGGTCTCCTGCTACATTGGATAGACTTGTCTCCTGTGTCGTAGCTGACATCATAGAATTTATCCTGCTGGAAGAGGTAAGATGCCTTTGCAGAGTAGCATTTCTTAAGAAGGTCCTGTTGAAAAAAGAAAAAAAGAAAGAAAGATTGTAAGACTTCACATTTTTAGGATGTACTTGATTTTGAAAATACACCCACAAATAAAACCTGTATGATATTCTACTACTTTGAGCCAAAGGCATTTGGTCTCACTCTATGACTCTCCTATGTCGGAAGCAATCGGTGTATATTAACTTTGAGACACAGGTTACCCACTGTGTTTCTCAAAAACCCCCTCAGAGTTGAGAATGTTAAGTCTATCTTCACAATTTCACTGAGTATATGGTATTGAGAAGCTTTGAGATGACCATGTCAACATCTGTATGACATCAAGGTGGTCCAATTTCTCAAGATGAAAAAAATCTGTTTATAACTCACTCAAGGCTCCACATTGGGGGAAAAAATGTAACGTACTATACATTATTTATACAATTTCATAGGCAAAAATAAAAAAAAAACCCAGGCTTTCAAATCCTCTTCTTTTCAACTCATATCCATATTGAAAAACCCAGAAGTGACAGTAACCCGGGGATTAAAAATCTGAGGAAAGATCTAAGGGAGAGTTAAACAAGAGCTAACAAGTTTTAACCACCACAACACATCAGCTACAATTCCAAAGGGTTTTTGAGTTGGTCTCATATTGGTTTTATTTGAAACCAAACTCAATTTGCATTTACTGACTGGTTACTGCCCATTAAGAAGTGGGTGGCAATTTACCCTGTTTATCACAATTCTAGAGTCTTCATTTTGGCCTCAAATTATTAGAGTTTAAGCCTTATTGCCTTCAATGACATCTGGTTGCTACAAAATCCCAGATATCCTAACCGATCCTTCACAGCTCCCACAACTCCCCGAGCATCTTCATTCCCAGAGAATACCTGTTAGAACCCTCTACTCCCTCAATATAACCAAACTACTCAGTGCCCCTTAACCACTAGATCGTGCCCCGTCTGTATCTTTTCTCACATCCTCTGCTTGACCTTGTCTCTACTTTAACATAACATTTGATACATTTAACAGAATATATGCAGCATATTTATAAATTCTGAAGTTTCCTAACACTGAAGTTTACTAACATTGTCTTCCTTCTTTATCTAGGTCTGTCCTTCTTGTGGGTCCCATCTGAAGTCTGGCTTCTCCTGAAGCTTCTTTATCTGCCCATCCCATTGGACTCACTTTCTCCTTTTATATTTGGCTACATTTGTTGACTTTGCTCCTGTGCTGTCCCTACTCAATGAGCAGTCCGCATATATTCTCTCCTCATGTGGTCAAGCAGGTTCTTGAGGGCAGGAATCATTTTCTATCCATGTCCGCATCCACAGAGCTTAACACTGTACTGGGCACAGAGGACCTCACTAAGCAATCAGGGTGATGAAGCCACTCCCCATATTCCATACTTCTATCACGCTTCCCCGACATGTACTCTGAACAGAATACACACAGATGTGTGAACTTCTCATTTGGTGCATCTTCCAAACCTTAACAATGCAAAACTATCAATGCTGTACAGGAAGCTACAGAGAAACTCCCCGGTAGTTACGAGGTCCTAGAAGATGATCCCACCTGACCAGAGAATGTATTAAATGTATTCATTTGACTGATCAACTTGTACTTCAAGAATAAAAAGAAAATCTCAAGGTATCACATTCCAAACGAAAGCATGAATTTGCTGTCTTAATAGCAATAGTGTCTTGTGTGGACACTAACATGGATATAATGTGTTTCATTTCCAGAAAGCATGACTTTATACTATGTAAAAGATTATATACCAACTATAATCAAAAACTCCAAAATCTCACTTATCTACTATCCAAAACAAACAGAGTATAAAATAATAATTAAAGGAACACTAGGAAGCCTTCAACCTGGCTGATGGATATTATTGGTAGACACAGGGAAGAGTAAATTGCTCTGACCTGAACATTCAGGTAGAAAACGCCCCTTCCTCTTCAATCTTTATGTTAATTCTATCAGCCGTCTCTCAACTCCAATCACAGCTGCCACCACTGTATCTCTTTACCCGCAAAGGTTAGGAAATTTGGTTATTGTTTCCTTAGCAACCACAGCCTGACCATATAACATTAAAAGGCCACTGCATATATTTAAGGACAAAGCATGCACGCACACACTTGTACCTGCATCATGAGTATAAATTTACTTCCATCAACCATGAAAGCGTCAAAAAAAATCCCCAAAGCAGAGGAACTTTGGACACGTCTTGGGCAAGTTTCAGTGGCTTATGTTAGTGATTGAAAGAGAGAGGAAGCCCATCCATTATCAGAAGACAAATTGCATGACCATAGGCAAATGGAGAAGAGGAGAGCCCAGAAAGCACACAGCAGAATGACTGCTGGTCCTGCAGGAGCGACACTGTTAATTTCATTGCACTGAAAAATCCCCCTGCCTTGTGAAGGTTTCAGAAAGAACAACTGGAGGCTTGGGATTTACTTTATCGAAAATAAATGAAAACTTTCCCCTTGAAGTTCCTGCTTTGCATTTTAGTTTATATCCTTGTATTAAAATGGATGAGATGTCCTTAGTTTTAAGACACACATCAACTAAGAGAAGCTGTTCAGAACTCTGGAGAAAACAACACTTTAGAATAAGTATAGTGAAAGTCACCATTTTTGAAAACACTTAATTAGTCATTATTGTCCTATCAAAGAGAAGGACCATGTTTATCTTACTCATCATCATACTCTTAATTGTAGTAGGACAATAAATACTAGTTATATGAATTCCAGAGACAAGTATGCAATGAGAATACCAATTGCTTTATAGCGTGATATCCTCTCAAACAGTTCTCAGGAATTAGTAGACATTGTACTAGGACTCTCACAATGGCAAGTGAAAGAAATGTAATCAAAGTAGCTTAAGCAAGAAGGGGAATTTTCATAGGCTCATATATGCAAAAATCCAGTCATATATAATCTTCAGGCACAGTTGGATCCAGGATTAAACCTGGAATCTTTTTCCTCTTGTTTTATTTTCTTCTGTATTGGCCTCACTTGCAAAGCAGAGAGCTGCTAGGAAGCTGGGAAGTAGCACTTCCAGTGGGGCTTGTGAGCACAGAGGGAGGCTCTGTTTGGAGAGAGATGGGAAATGGAGAAGAGACAGCCCCTGCTGGTGATGCTACTACCTAAGCACGGAGAGACCACTTGGCCTCCCAAACTCAATCTCTTGTCTGAACCTTCTGCTGCCCAAACCTAGCAGGAAGCCAACTGGCAAGGGATCCTGGGAAATGTGGTTCGCAGGAGTCAGGCCCCTTTCAGCGCAAAGCAGAGGAAGGCTGAAGATTGAATTATACTGTAAAGAGAAACAGGCAAATGACAAGCATATTACATGAGTACAGAAACCACAACTTGCCTTTTCAATGTTTGTGTTCATAGCACCTAAGCTAGCACATAATAATGATCAGAGCCAACATTTATAGAATTCTTACCATGTGCCAGGCATGGTATACGTATGAACTCATTTAAGCCTCACAGCAACCCAATGAGATAAGTTCTATCATTTTTGTCAATGCCATTGTGAGGAAACTGCAACACAGCGAGGTGCAGTAAATTATCTAAGATCATGTAGCTACTAGGTAGTAGGGCTGGGCTTCCAACCAAGGCTGCTTGGATTCAGGGCCTGACTCTTTACCCATTACACTCTACTCCCTCCACAGTGGGTAGTTAAACACATGTGGAAGAGATGCTCCATAAATGCTCATTAAGAGTTCTTGAAGAGGTTGGTGAAAAGCAAAATGGCAGCAGAAAACACATCAAACGAGAGGTCAAAACAACTAGCAACTTGTTGCGGACGCTTACTTTGTTCCTGTAAATATGACTTCTGGTCTTACTAGTGGTAATAGCTTGTCTATAAAGCATTTTGAGATTTTTCTGCATACTTGTGACTCTGGTGATACTTAAGGATATCACTAAAAACATCATGAATCAGTAGGTTGCATATCTCCCTTGTCAAGATATTAGTCAAGCCATCTTTGATCTCCACAGGCCAGATCAGATACAGCCTCTTGCCCAGGAGTCAGTGACTCCCTGGGCCTACTTTAAGTCTTCACTTCTTGCAATCATGTTTTTCAGCTTATGAAGCAAAAGCTACCAAAAACTCTTCCCAAATGGCCTTCCCATATTCTGTCCCACATCACCATTATTTACAAGCAAGAAATTGTCTAAACTAAATGCCTCAGGTAATAAGTATATTAACCACCTTTGCACTAATTACTTCATTCCAAAATTATGTATTTAGGACCTATTATATAACAAGCACTATGATGCCAAGATCCTGGGCATACAACCCCATGGAGGAACTAAGCATTTAGGCTAATATTTGTTGATGGAATGCTCAAAGCTAAATTTAGGCTGTGAATAGCAGAAAGGCTTGATTGTAATCTAGAATATAAAAGTGAATTTAAAAAATGATTATACCTTCTGATATTGGCTTTACAGGCATACCTCGTTATTACGCTTCACTGTATCGTGCTTCACAGATACTGCGCTTTTTACAAGACCTTCCACCAGCCAAAAGATTATGACTTGCTGAAGGCTCAGATGATGGTTAGCATTTTTTAGCAATAAAGTATTTTTTAATTAAGGTATGTACATTTTTTTTAGACATAACGCTATTGCACACTTAATAGACTATAGTGCACTGTGAAAATAATCGGGAAACCAAAAAATTTGTGTGACTTGCTTTATTGTGATATTTGCTTTATTGCTATGGTCTGGAACCAAACCTGCAATGTCTCTGAGGTACGCCTGTATTTATTCATTAACAAACATTTTGAGAGCCTTGATATGTGCCAATAGCTGTGGTAGGCACTGGTGATGTAATAGTAAATATGAAAGCCACTATCTCTAAGAAGTTTAAGATAGAGATAGGGACAGAAAAACAGGCAATTACAGTACAGTGCTAGAATAGGGGGAGAACACGGTCTAAGGAGCACAAAGGAGGGTCATCTTTCACTAACTTAGAGATGTTAGATAGGGCTCTTCAGGAGAAGAAATATGTCACCC